TTATAGTAACATTAGTTGTTGGTAATGGCATAAATGCATGTTGTCAAGCACATCAATACAATGTCGAATCCCAGGCTCCACTGGAATTCCTAAAGAATAAATATTACACACACATAACAAAAACAATCATTAAAACATTACAATAAATGCATAAATAATAGGTTTGGATATTGGATGGCCAGTTCAAATCCCACACCGAGCAGTCTTTAGTTGCTCTGGTCATGACATGTCAACGTTGTATGAAATCGCTAGGAGTTGGCCTCTCAGAAGAGCCTTTCACATAGGAAGGATAGTTGTTTAACACAACCATAAGGTCACAACGAGAACACGCCGCACGCTTTTAGCGAATCCCTGCGCAAGTGAGGCCGGGCTTAGCCGGCAGCCCCATGTACGACTAGCGGGACCCCAACTCTTTCATTCATACATCTCTAGGGCCAGTCCAACCCTCTAGTCTTAAAATGCCGGGTTATAAATGACCGAACTCCAGGCTCTCTACCATGAGTACTGACAATAACCGATCAAAAGACAAATCATGACATAACATAAATAACAGAGTAACCAACGGCAAACTCGCACGCATACATAATTATAAACAAAATGTACACAATTTATGTAGGCGTTGACAGTTGACATATTTGCACTGGCATAACAAAGACTGACACAAAACCAATATTCGGTCACTACATGTGAGGAATCGACTAAACGAATTGATTAGTAATATTGGCAAGATGGCTCCCCTCGAAGACACAAAAAAACAGTACACAAAACATAATCTCTGCGTATGTCAGTTCTGAACTTTAACCAGCCTCTGCTACGTCAAATCGAGATTATTATATCGATATCAAATATAGCACAGTACATATTCGAAACAAGTCACCCCGCCCAATATTAATAATCATAATCACCCGGTTCAAATAAATAGTAGGAGCATAACTTTATGTACTATCACATTACAACAATACAAAGGAACATGTCGTGGCAAACATTGGTATCAAGTAATTAATTCACAATGTCAAGTGCAATATGTAACAATCAACCACCTAACTTACGTCACTCGCCCTCAGACGAGGCACCCTGTAAATACACAGTAACATAATCAGATAAACAAAAGCGAAATGTGCTGCAATAAATTCAATTATAAATTAAAATGTAGTTCTGCATACTTGTATTGGGTATCGCCCCTAAGGGAACATACAGTATCTAAATATAAATAAAACACGTAAATCGGTCAGTAACTCCCAGTAGGACCAGTATAATTAAAACTGCAATTTGTATCTGGGATGTGTTATAAATGGCAATAATCAATGCTGTACGAGAATAAAGTTAAATTGGCAAATAATCGAACACGATAATATCATTATTAGAGGGATGCAATAGACGTAGAGATAAATAAAACGAGTACATCACCTTTGTAATTGTCGAAGGTGCACTCACTATTCGCAACGTAAAGATTTACTTCTGGTCTCAACAAAAGCACACATACTTCTCCCGCATTCTCCCCCTTTTTTTATTTAAACAAATCCTAGACGAAAATTGAACGTGCTCCGAGACGGGTCGATACGGATCATTAAGTTTCCTCGCATAGCGTAATATTTGACACTTTTATTGTAAATTATGGCCCATTTCAATATAGAGCAGAGAAGAAAAAACACGTGTTCCACGAAAACGAAACAAAGCGCAATCTTGACCTTTTTTGTCGCGCCAGGCTCGGATTCGGGAATATTTAAATCGAATTTTAGCGGGCTAATTCGGTTCCATCACACGTTCAAAGAAGTTTTTATTGTATTAAAAAACGACTAGAGTTCCAAGCGGTTCGGTATAATGTGGGAGAATAAGACGAAGCACGGAGTCCTAAATAAAAACTCGATCGAACAATGAAGAAGCAATATCAATTCTGTACATTGCCGTAAGCGCATAGTTTCATTTGCATTGAAAAATTTAAAAAATGACATTGTACTCAGGTGTATTTTCGAGACAGCGGTATACGAGTTGTTTTCTTCCCCTGAGCGACGGAAAATTAATTTTGATATTACAATTGTGCTACGAGAAATAGAAAATCCATTTTCGCACGAAACAAAATATTCTAAGTGTGCATTACGTGTTCCTAACCGCCCATGAGCTGTAGCCTGTAGAATTAACGCTATTATCAACAAAGCAGAACTTTGACATCAGTAAAGCTGAATCCTGTACATCGCGTAAAGCAAGTTCATCTTTGTCTGTCAACTTCATATACCACGAATCGGAACTTAGACCTAGGGGAATCCTGATTCCAGACCATGTAATAATAATCTAATTCTAAAAAAACCTTCTATTGCCAAAGTACCAAACGTGCCAAAGTTACTGTTGTGGATTCTCTTGAACTAATAAAATCTGAGCTTTTTACATTTTGTTTTGATTGTGCACACAAAGTAACGATCTGTCAAATTCGGATCAGCTGTGGTGGTCCCGTGTCACGTCAAATAAACCTTGCAAAGTTGAATTAAAATTCTTTGTAACTGAGTAAACGTTTTTTTTTGACTGGAGGAAATTTAATATGCTCTGTTATCGACTTCTAAACGTTATCGAATGTTTTGTCTTGTTTTTGCTATATTTACTAAAAGTAAAATAATCCTTGTTTCCATAAAAATATATTTAAGTGAAGGTGAAAAGGGCGAACTCGCTTGTTTACCATTCTCTGTTCTGTGTAATTGTGATTTAAAAAATGGAAGCTAGGACAGCGAAATTTAGCTAAAAGAGCGATTTGCTTAAATCTTGAAAACGTAATTTAACATTTTTATTCTTTCCCCTAAATTTTAGTAAACGGTTTGCGATTGGCGTGTTTTTATTTAAACTGAAATTCGCTTCAATGTGATCTGAGTCCCTCATCTACGGAAGTTCTAGAATTCTTGATATATTTTGGGTATAGTTCCAATAGACACTCAAAGAGGCAATTTTAAAAATGTGTCACGAGAGAACAATAGCTGTTTCGATGTCCTTTCGTATATTTACATGCCAAAAAGCATGCCAAAGAAGAATCCAGAAGTGGGATGGGGGCATCACGAACGAGACCGCGCTGAAAAAATTCTGGGAAATTGATGTCCAAACCCAAAACACAGCCCTATGACAGGTAACCGCTCGCCGTCTACAGACAGATTCCAGGTTCAAGGTTTTCCTGTGAGAATATGACGAGCTAAGACATATGGTAGCTCGTAATGCAGGAGAGGCACCTGCAAAATACTACATTCCTCACCACGCGGTGTTAAAAGAGGAAAGCTCACCATGACATTACAAGTGGTGTTTGACGCCTCTGCCACTTCCAGTTCAGCGAAAAACCAAAACGAGATGATACTAATTGATCCAAAAATACAAGAAGGTTTGTGTGGAAATGAGCAAAAAACCTCCAGGTTAACAGCAAAATCTAAAGTGACCCCGATGAAGTGGAAGATAACCCTACCGTGGGTGGAGCTCGGTGGAGCAGTACTGGCGGACAAGCTGTTAACAGCTCAACCTGAAAAAGATTCAGACATTCGCATGGTCAGACTTCATGATTGCCTTAGCATGTATCAAGGGTAGCCCCGAAAAATACAATAAACCGCCAAAGTTAAGGAAATATAATCTTCAAGAGTAATAAGGAAATGCACAATAAGAAGGAAATGTGTATAGGTACTACTTTACTACCAAAAAGTAAACCGCAAAGCAATAAAACAATACTAAGCACATTGTTGGCAAGGTTGATATATTCAGTATTTCCTGCATACTAACATTATTGACATAGCTAAGGAAAGTAAATCTGTGATATCAATAGCATGTAAACGCTTACAATAAATATTATCAGTTAACAATCATCGAACTGTCTCTCGGTAAAGTACCGGGTTTGAGGTATAACATAATCCCCGACCGAATTTACTTTGTGTAATTTTGCTTGGGTGAGCATTCACAACCCTAACGCTACATCAATGGCAAAAATTTATTCCAAAATACAATGAAACAACATTAAATCAAAATTCTTGAAAGAAACGAAAGTTGACAGAGCTTGTTTGGACATATTTCCCCGCGCGCAAACGGTCGACAAATAAATTTATTTTAAAAAAATCGATCAATATTTATACAAAAAAGTTAGAATAGAAATAGAGATTTTGTAATATGAAAAACCCTCTATAGCTTTTATATCATTTTGCTAAAAAATGTTGCGCCACTAGTTTATACATTACTCCGTCCCTTCAATCAAGATGCGATTTTTGGTGTACGTATGTTGTGAATGTTTGGAATTATCAAAGAGTTTCCGGCCCGAAAGGCAGGGAAAAAGCCATTGAAGGTATTAAGAACGATAATGCGATATCGCATTTGCATTTGATATGTTTAAACACTGACTTTATTGTGAGGTTTTCCACTTTTGCCTTTAGGGAAGTATCGACGATTTGTAGGAGAACTTCACTGACCCGCTTAATACCTTTCGAAAGTACTAACACTCTTCATAACAAAGTGTAAGTTCCGTTTGATCTTAAAAGAGGAAAAGTGGAAAAACACATTTCCGGACAGCCTTTCAAGCTGTAATACGGTTTTAGCGGAACATTTTATAATAAAACAAGTATATACGCTCTATGCATCCGTGTAGACCTTCGCAAAATGTAGCATCAAATGCAAAAACTGAGATCTCGATATCTCCAACTTCGCTTTCGACAAATAAACTCTGAAGGATTTTTACTTTTGACAGTAAGAAGTACAAGAAATGTTATTGAATCTAACTTGAGTTCTGGCTGGCCGGATATAGGGTTTTTAACTTTTAACTTGACAGTTGATCTGTCTTAAAAGTGAATCTGAACTAATACAATGCAGAGGTGGCAGAAGCCTGGCATTTTTGTTTGGTGATTGTATAGAAGTAGGTAATATGTGATGTATTATAAAGCGTTTTCAGAATCGTCTCTAAATTTCGAAGACGATCGATATACAGTAGGAGTTTTAGATATAGAATTCTTTTCATTGAATTTTTACACAAATAAATTCTAATTTATGTTTACCAGGAGTTAATCAGAACCGAGAGAGCTCGGGAACTTCAAGAGCAGCGAATGGCCGAAGAAGTTGCGGCTCAAGCGGCATCCTTAAAGGATAGCATTAACTTCAGAAACCAAGCGTAAGTTTTGAAATTCAACTGCGTGCGTAGCATTATGATAAGTGTTGATAAATCGTGTATATATGCCCTGCACTCGCCCTATTGTGGGCAGTGTAATCAAATTTTATTGAAATAATAACGCTGTTCCAGAAACCTACGTGACATGACTTATAATTACGATCCGGATGGGCAAGATGAACAAAATGAGAATTACGAAGGGCATTCTGGCATTATGGTCTTTCCGGATCTATTGGCTGACTCGTACCAAAATAACTTACAGATGGAGGATTATTATGATAGAGACAGATCGTATCCGGGATCACACAACTCCGCTTTATTCGGCAGCAGTTCCTTTAACGTAAGTAACTTTGAGTTCTGTATCATTCTTAGCAATAGAAAACGAAAAGAAGCTTATTCCTCTGTAGGCAAATGGGGGAACAACAATAGATACCATCAAAACGTAAAATGGGATAGTTTCACTTAATCCATTACGCGCTATATTTTTGATAAAAACCACATTACGCGTAGAAACAATATTGGAGAGAAAGATTCCTGGCATACTTCCGCCCTTTTGAGGGACTTTTTAGTGTTTCATTACTTTTATGCTAAACCAATCAGCCGTTACAATTAATTTCACTTGGATGATCCAGACCTTTTCTGCACACTAAAGACGGAAAACTACGTGAATAGATTAATTTACCATCAGGATTGCAAATACAGGGTCAAGCATGGAAAACCGAACTGAATGGTTTGTGTATATTAACAGTGGCAAACGTCGGATGTTCGAGGCTTATAAAACGAACTCGCCAAGCTTTTGGCACACACTTTCTTGGAAGGTCTCACCCTTGCTTGATAGATTGTCATAGCAGTTTCGGTTGAAACGCCCAATAACTGAAATTATTTACCTTATTCCATCAACTTTTGCTACAAAATTATAGTTTAAACGCCTTTCTAACGCAGATGCAGAACAAATTTTTTAATGTGGAATATTTTAGAAACTACAACGTCAACTCTTCGTCCCTCAATCCCATGGATTATTCATCATACATTCAACGTAAACAGATTTTTGCTGAAGTACGATCGGCTAATAACCCTTTTCTGGCCTCTTAAGGAAAAGGGGAAAGGGTAGATAATAAGTATTAAAATTTGAGATGGTTCTTATTTTCTTAAAAATATCCCCTTAGCTGTAATAGAATAACACTTTAAAACCTTGTAAGCGAATGCAATATATATAATTTATACCGTTGGAATAACTGGCTACGGCGCTAGTTCATAAACGAATGGCTTGAGCATTAAATTTTCTTCAATAGTTTTTGAATTATTACACTACCACGTTAGTTCAAACAACGAGGCAAAGGATAACGAAAAGTGACGAAAGAACAACTGTGCCTTTATTATGCACTGGGAGTCCTCAATGCTGTTTCGTGGATCCGGTTTGGTTCCGCCCCAGAGCTTGGATATGGTTTGGAACGCATGGACTTCTATGTGTAGCTTCTCTTAGATTGTTCCTTCGATGTGGAAATGAAGTTCAGCTGTATTCTGCACGGACCGCTCACAGAATTCGCGGTTTGAGTTCCGTCGTGGGAACCTTCAAATATCTGGTTCTCTTCTCGAACGTGTTACCCAAAACTTCTTCAGCGGTGCAGTGGTGGCGTTGATATCTTATTCTAGATGTGATGTTCGTTCTTCGAAAACCACCCGAGTGGATGACTTAACTTAAAACGCGCGGCATACTCTCCAATGATGACTGGCACAGATTCGGCGTCTGAGGCTGCCAGTTAACGACGAATTGTTTAAATATTTAACTAGCTTTTTATCATTTATTCGGTTATGGTAGACAACATTTAGGTACCACATTCCGTAAAACAGTATTTCCTCTATCTTATTCTATTTCCATCTGAAATAAAATTACATCTCCAATCGCCATCGTTACTTTATATTGCTAATTCCCTCAGGTCTAGATCAGGAGCCCGTTTAGGCAAATCTTGCATGTATAATGTTGCAACCACCTTGAAAGCTCAGTTACTGACAGGGTGTTGTACAAAGTCATCCGAAGTGTGCGCTGTCTTATAGAAACTCATGTTCATCTCAAAAATAGAAGAACGCTGTTGGGTTGAAATTTTATGAGAATGCTCTTCGGCAAACAGAATCTTACTCAAACCATTTGACCGCTAGCAGGCGTTCCACAAATAATAATTAAAGTTTTCTGTGAGTTTTGTTTTTCTTATTGAAGAATAGAACATTTTTTGGTATTTTTGCATTTACGGAATCCATAAAACACATAAGTCAAGTTACTGACTGGATACACAAACTGATCTAACTTAGACAATTTGTAGTTTAAAAAAAATAAATTCCTGATGGCAACGTTTAAGACTCTTAGTTAATTGCTAATAGCGCAAAATTTGTTATCTTGGCATCCGGTCACTAGCCCACCCACAAAACACCTGTCCAGCTAGCTCAATTAAATAACTTCACTCACACAAGCCAATCCAGGCGACAGTGACAGCAACAAGGAACCACGCATGTAAGCGTTCGATCAAAACAGGTTAAAAAAGTCTTAATTACCTTGATACTGTCAATAATCCAAAAACCAATCATTGCAGTGTATGTACTGTCCAAAAACCAAAAACGCACAACTCACAAGCACTAAACTGGCGTCTCCTCATGAAACAACTTCTTTATTTCGTAACACAAACTTACCAAACTTTCCTTTTCTGACTTTGCTGACGAACAAACTCACTTGGCTTTAATTAACAAACAACACTACAATTAAATTTTAAGAAAAACATCTCAGATTTTAACCACCGATACGCCGCAAAGTCGACAACATGGCGGCCTCGGCTTTACGTAAACGACAGAAAGCAGCCGATCACGTTCCAACACTTCAATTTAACACATGTCTGCCTCTATTATGAACATACGCACAATTCTCTTATCTAAACGCGCACCTGCGACAACACAACATCTGTTTACAAAATTAATTAATGCGAACACTAACTTTTATCGCAACTATAAGCGGAGAAAACTATGAGATAAACTATTTTCCATATCTTCCAAACGTACATAAATTAAGTTAACACAGAAACACGCAATACAGCCAAACAAAAATTAGACATTGTCCAACACTATGTAAATTTACCACCAATATATTATATGATTATATTAATTTGTTAAAATCGCGATCATTCGATGCTCAATTATTTTTCATGATTTGTCCATCTTGGAAAAAAATGCTCCATACTAATGGGCTTGATAATTATTAAGGAAAATGGCAAAGCTAACGCTGTGGTTTGCAAACAGCGATATTTATTAAGAACATGCAACACAAAAGGCATGAATTGTGGAGACGCACTTGTGTCTCTTGTTATTCGAACAGCGCACTCTTGACAGCATACACTAACAATAATTCCAATAATTGTTTTACTAGCAATAGTGCCGGGTTTTGGAATATTAATTAATCAAAAAATGTAAGAGGAGCAAAATTAAAAATCAACCTCAAGTCCAGAAATGCCCACCGGCGATCAAACCGTTTGAGATATAGCAACTTCTGTTTACTACATCAGTGACTGTCTCAAAGCGGAGGAGAGGGGGGGGGGGGTCAGTGGTTTTACGACAGGAATATGAGTTTCCATAAAAAAGTGGTACCAACAAAATTACCCAAAAAGTGAGCAAGAAATTTAGGCTTCCTTTGGGTTGATTTTTTTATGGGCGAATAACATTAATTTTGAAAATAATTAGGTTACTCAGAGAAGGGCTAAGGTCAGATGGATCTGGGCCCCCATTTCCATGTTTGCTCTTTTAGGATTGGCTACCAATTAACTCCAGAACCACGCACATTTCCAATAGTTCTAACGATGTGAATAAGAGAACGTCAACTAAACCGTAAATTGCACTGTGATTCCCACTCACCCCGCGTGGAATAAGGCAAATTAGGTGTGGTATAGATAAATACTTTTCTGGAACATAGAGAAATATGCGTAATTTTCGAATTCGTAACAAGTAGGGTATGAGTGTCATTAGTCCCAAATTTGTAAGCAATTTGTACCCAGTTTATAAATCCTAATATCTGTAGAGCCTTTATTAACAACGACTTAAATTAAATTCAAACGAAGAGTTATTCCAGTAATTTTGAATGGAGTCTTAATTGGAAAACAGTTGCCGAAAATAAAAGTTTCCGACGAGCTCACATTACAATTAGCACAATTTTTACGTTTGAAATAATTTAATTAACATCTCTTTTCATTTGCAATTCCATAAATTTCAATAACTTTATATAATCCTCCAGCGACTTCCACGTGCCAAGGACGTTTTCGTACGCAGTCTACTAAAAAACGATTTTCCCTGCAGCTAATTATAAAATGCACTATGCGCAACTTAAAAACTTTTTCCAACTGCAATAGCTCAAAGCGAACTACCGTGGATGCAGTGCGGCATATCTTTAGTTTATCACGTCAATGGTGTTACAAGGAGGGGTTACTAAAGTGGTGAAAAGTTTTGTGTATCAGGAAATTTAATTGCTTCGGATTTAAAGCTAACGCAGATTGAAAAGGTTCTTTCAATTGAGCCGATTAGTCAATATGGGTCTTGTATTCTACTGAAAGACTAAATTGCGCAGTTTCGACACGTTTTTCATGTGAGAACAATTGGAAGATATCAATTTTGTTATTATTAAATCTCTGTAGCAAAGGACTGTTCTCACTTATAACACACTTACGACAGGGTGCAGTTTATTATTTCTCTCGACTATTGGAAAAGTGGAAATAAACTGTTTTAGTTCATCAATCCATACCTTTTTGCGAATTGACCCCCAATTCACCCTCATTAAACATTAGTCTGAAGATGCACTTTTAATCAAAATGCATGGGTCCAGAACATCATGCATGTAGAAAAGTTAAACCTGACAGGCACTTGCGGGCCCAAAATGATTCAACTTGATAGTAAATGATTGCAGAGATACCGATTCCTGTTACTGGTGAAGAAAGGGAACGTGAAAAAATTTTACAGGCTGAATGGGAAACAACTAGACGGTTATTACGCCACACCTAGTATTTTTGGTATTAGTGGTTTATGTGCACAACCACGAAACGCAACCGGGTATCTTTTGCTCGGTTTTTTGTTACTTTGCTATTTATCCCACAGCACCCAATTTCAAGTTAATTACACAATGTACATTGTACAAGCCTTAGCATTTGTTTTAAATAGGGGATGCACAGCCATGGTACTCTGTATATATTTTCCATAAGGGTATGCACTGATATTGGAGCGAATTTTTTTGAGCGATATCAGGGCGCCATCAAGTCGCCAGCAAGTCGATAAAATAATACTAAATGAAAGCGGATTCTTTCCCAAGAAAGAGTA